CAAAGGAAAGAGAATAAAATAATTTGAAATTTACCTAGCTTCTTTCTCTTTTTCTACCTCCAAATCCACCACTTTTATTAAACAAAAAATTCAAATCAATAAAAAGGACAGCAAAGATTTGGCAGAAGATAGCAAAGAATTCGACTATTCCCTTCACCAAAACCTCATCTGAAGTTCTCAACAACTTCTCCAAATCAAACACCCTAGATTGTGATTAGGGAACTTTATTTTCTATTTCTTTCTATAATATGCTCTGTTATTTTTAGTTTCAAGTTGTCATTTTGTGTTTTAGATTTGAAATTCGAAATTGATTTTGAAGTCAGATTTGGTTTTAAGATTTTGCCATTGTTGTGGTGTAAGTAGTAGTGTTATTGAATGAAGGTTTTGATGGTAAGGAAAGGCGATTGAGGATGTGGCAGTTAGATGGTGGGGATGATGAAAAGGTTCGATTGGGATGATAATCAGCCTTAAAGTTGAACATAGAGGGCTCGAAGGCAATCACTATTGTCAGTTCCCCTCTGCGATAAAAGTCTAGAAGTTGAGGCGGTGGCGGCTTGTAGTGGAGGTGGGTGTTGCGACGTTGCTTGAGGGAGCTATTTTGAGGCGACGTTGGGGCCAGAGGTTGAGGCAGTGGCAATTGCGATCGGCAGCTGAGTGAGGGTGATTTTTGGTTTTTGAGTGAGGGGGTTGGAAAGAAGGAGATGAGGGTGGGTGGGTGTGGTTTTATCTTTTTATTTTTGATTTAATTATTATTATAATAATTAAATTTTTTTGTGAAAAATATAAAGTTACAATGCTACCCTCTTAAAATTTGGTTAAAGTAAGTCAAATTTTATTACTCTAGTCATCTAATGGTGAAAATAATGTAAACCATCTAAATGAACACTAGATGAGAATTTCTGAAATGTTTGGTATCGTGGGTGGTACAAAATTAAGATTTGGATCACTTGTGCTACTAAATGAAGTGTTTGGTATCGTGATTGCAATTTTTCCTAAAATTAAATAAAAAATGGAAAAAAAAATAGAAGATCCATTATCATTCTCATCACTTATCTCCAAATTCATCAATGGATTAGCATTATTCATTGATTTTCCCCGCTGTCGCCGTCTCAACAACATTCATTGATTTCCCTAAACTTCTCAAAGAACTTACTTTTTTTTAATCCAGGGCCAAAATCACACAAAAATAATTTTCTCATTGCCCTATTCAGATCCCGGTTTCACTCAATCCAGGAAAGTTTCGATCTTTTCTTCACACAACTCAATGGCTTCGGCCGACGAATGAAGCATATTTGACCACATTGAAACTCAAATATACAGATGGCCCTTATTCTAGGTACAAATTTTCAGTAATTCATGGGAAAAATCAAAGGCCAATTAAGAATCAATATTTTTCTTTTATTTTTATGTGGAAGATTTGTGTGTTTATTTTGTTTAGTATGATTAATTGGTAGGAATAGATATAAGTTGTCTGGTGTATTTCGCTTGTTGAATGTACGTCCTGTTTAGCATGTGTGGTATGGTAAAAACTACCCCCAACAAATTTTTATATATATATACAAGTCTATACATTACATAAATAAAGAAATCATATGAATGGTTGAAGCCATTATGCCGAAACACTGCCCAGACGGCTGAAGTGCTTGAATCCAAAGCGCTACATAAAGAAATGGAAGAAGTCGAAGCTCTGCACACAGAGGACCAACACTAAGATTCCTCCAAGGCCTTTAATTCACCTAAAGCTCTAGAAACTGAAGTTGTCTCTTACAAGATCCTTAGGCAATATTTAAAAATGATTAATATAATGTTTGTAATAAAGAATGTCAGGTATGTCAGCCTATTATATAGGGCGACCTACCCATTGTCAATGTATTTATTGTATGATAGACAGTGATGTGAAACCTCAGTCAAGAAGATGATGTCATGTAGTTCTAATCCAACTGACACCACGTCGGCTAAAACACTATAAATGGGCTCTCCTTGTAACTGGAAAAGGGCTGGATTCTTAGACTTTAGACTCTTAAACTCTTGATCCTTAATAATACAAATGATCTTGTAAACTCTATAAATATTATCTTTTTTTTTTTTCATATACATTAGTTTGATCTTTTTATGGTTTACTTTGATATTTGATTGGTGATTGTTGTTAACGCAATCATATTTGTTTTCCACTGGTGTTTGAACACTTTTGTCTCACACTGTGAAACATCTCTTGCGTTTACGTTCATCTCTCTTCTTACCGGTACTCTGGTCAAAATGCACCGAAATTTGCTTAAATTGGTGTGAGTGAACCCGACATCTGTTGTCTACGTTTTTCGGGGTGAACAACATGTATTCGATGGGTGTGGAAGAAATTTTTGTACACGGCTGGCTGCGAAAGTGAGAATTGAGCCTTGCAACTACTGGTGAATTCACTGATTCGATAGGCATTGAGATTTTTGTTTGTTTTTCATTTTTAGCATGGAATCTACTAAAAATAAAGACGAAGAAGAAGACGTTAGAGTTGGGAGATTTTGGTTTTGTTTTTATGGTGAGTTAGAGTAGGTGGTTGGATGAGGGAGGTTGGAAGTTGAGACGAAGAAGAAGGTGTTAAGGAAAATGATGATGATGAAATTGGGTTCTGAGGCTTTAGTGGTGGTGGGGATTGGGATGGGGGAAGAATATGAAGTTAGATGGTGATGGAATTGGTATAGCAGCTGTTTTGCTTTTGTGTGGTGGTGGATGGTGGCGGGAGGTGGCTGAATCCACCTTTGTGTTTTGCTACATGGTGGGTGGGAAAAGAAGTTTTTTTTTTTTCTTTCATTTTTATAAATTTATTTTTGGGGAAGAGAAGATAAATTTTTATTTTTATTTTTGGTTTTTTTGTTTATTTATTTAATGTGGTAATTTTAAAATTATTATTGCACCCCTTTCAATTTGGTCAAATGTCATTTTTCTTGATTAATTGACGGTCAAATGGAATTTGAATCCAGATGCAAATATTTGAAAGGTTTTGAGTTGTGGATGACACAAAAATGAAAGGTTAAGGTAAAATCTGCGAAAAATTCAAAGATTTGAAATCGGTGCGACAATTATCTCTTAAACTAATTCATCGCACACCAACAAAAAAGAAAATTGAAAATACAATCGACTTAGTACATAGAACTCAAGGAAAAAGAAAGAGAATGGCCTCTCTACTCCTAGGATGGCAACGGAGCAAGATACCTTTTATCATCTTGATCCATGCATAAGGCGATGAAGGACAATTCGAGCCTCGTTTATATATTTTTAATTTTTCTAAAAAATTTCCCCTAGAAGTTTTAGGATAATTTGGAAATGGGAATAATGGAGTTGATAATCGGATCAAATTTGGACATAAATAAGTTGAGATAAATTGAATTTAAACAGAATTTGGACTTATTTTTAATAACTAGCAATCGGGCTGGGGGGAGGGCACTGCTGGACTCAGGTTTGACAGTTCTAATTGCCATCTGTATCTCTTTCTATTTTCCTATTGAAATGAACACACCTTTTGTTATATTGCTGCGTGATCATTTCTGGCCAAACTTTATAATGTAATGTTTTGCTCACCAACTTGAGCTATTGATTAAAATTTTTAAGTGAAATATAATTCTACCATCCTAATTAATTAGGATTTTCACCATTATAAATTCATTGAAAACTTGTTTAGAAAGTGTTCATATGATAATAAATGAGAACGGGTTGTAGATAAGTGTGTATTGAATAATACTTGTGGATTACATTAAACGTGTGGATAAAAGTGATTTCGCCGTTCGTTGATATTAGACAAACATAGGTGTATAAATATTATCAAATATTTTGGATAAACTTTGCCAATATCCCTAAAGTATTTTGACTAAAGAATGTGTATGCCTAACTTTGTGAAGATTTCTCTACTGAAATTTGACTAACAATAAGCACAAACTCAAATAAGTACAAATTGAAAATTCAATAGAACTGATGGATGTTTTGATTTAACTAACAATATCTATTGGTGAAATTCTCTATAATTTTTTAATGAATAAGACTATCAATACTTCTTATTAAGATCAAAGAATGTTATTGTGAAATACAATCAATATCAAGTATATATATTCCAATAATGTGGCAAGTCTAAAATTAATTGGAGAATAACAATTTCTATTTGAACGTTGCATTAATATAAAGTCGATTAGTATTACATATATGAATTAAATGATACCGCATTTTATTGGGAGAACAATGCCAATTATTATTAAATTATATCAATATTTGTCCAAAATTACATAAATATAACGCTGATTATCTTTCTAGATATGAATTAAATGATGATGTGCTTTGTTGAGAAATATAGTGTCGAATATTATTGGATTATATCAATTTTCGTCTAAAGATCATATTAATATAAAGATGATTATCATTGTAGATGTGAATTAAATGAAGACATGTTTTATTGAGAAAACAACGTCAATTATTATGAAATTATATTAATTTTTGTCTAAAGCTTACATTAATACAACGTTGATTGTCTTTCTAGATACGAATTAAATGATGACGCATTTTGTTGAGAAAATAGCTCCGATTATTGGATTATATCAATTTTTCGTCTGAAGATTGGCATTGATATAAAGATGATTATTTTTGTAGATAAAAATTAAATGATGACGCGTTTTACTGAAAAAATAGTGTCAAAGACTTTCGTGTCATATTGCTGATATCTTCTTTCAATTAGGGATGTCAATGGATCGAAGCTAGATGGGAGTTAAATTTTTAATTTCTTTGCTCTTTTCTTAATTTTTGACTTTTGGTAACCTCATTAAAAAATTTCCGAAAAAAAAAATACATATTTTTGTTTCTCATTTTTCAACCATGCGAACCACTCCACCCCACCCCCAAAAAAACACAATTTCAGACAGTCAAAACCCATGATTATTCTTTCCCTTGTCCAATAACCATAAATCTGTCAATAAAGCATTGTTCACTTTGATATAGTGATGCAAAACCTTAATCAATCCCAAAAAATGATTTTTGACAGTCCTAAAAATGTCAGTAATCCCTCCAACAGCCCAAGAAACCCTCCTCCTTCCACCCTTCACCATCAGCAACACCCCTTCACGATCCCTCCTCCTCCATCCCTGCCACCCTTCTCCGCTTCTCCTAGCGGTGGCCCTAGTGGTGGTGATGATGATGAGTTTCCTAGGAGGGATGAGAGGTGCCTACAGTGGAGCAACCAAGAAACAAGGGACTTTATAGAAATCAGGGGCCTGTTAGAAGAGGACTTCACCTCAACAAAGAGGAACAAGAATCTCTGGGAAATGGTGGTTAGCAGAATGAGGGAAAAGGGGTACAGGAGAACCCCTGATCAGTGCAAATGCAAGTGGAAAAATCTTGTTAGCAGATACAAGGTATTTATATATACTATTTTTTTCTTTTTTGATTAATAGCGTTTGATGAAATTGATTAATTTCTGTGGTGGGATAGATTGGTTGAGTAATTGGATTCATTTCGTGTCGTAATGATGAAATTCTCATACTCAGATGTCGGTACAATGAGGTGAAATGGTCTGAGATTTATGCTTTTTGTTCATTTGATTGTTACATTCAACTTCAATTGACATGTTTGTGTTGGACTTTTGAATTTGTTAGGATTCGTCATTGGCCACACGAAAATAAGAAGGCATACGCGGTTAATGCAGGATTTTGTTTATATAACTGATAAGATTCTAATGATGCATTAACGAGATTCTTGTATTGGACGAGGTCTTAGTAAAATTCATCCTCTTCTTGGCAAAAATGATGAGTTAATTCAAGATTATGCTTGGTATTTGAGACATTCATTACTCAATCTTGCCGTGTTGTAGAAATAGAATCTATAAGTTCTTTGGTAAGTTTTTGAAAACTGCTGTACAGTTGCTGGCTGTCTTTGAGAAAGTGTCGGTTTGGGGGACATGAGTGTGGGTTAAAGATAAGAAATTGGTGGTTGCTTTGGGGGAAAGGGGATGAAGAAAGGAGAAAGATTGATAATAGAACTTGCTTGGATTGCTTAGGAATGGCCAATACTTTTTCGATGACAAGGGATAAATTTCGTGTGATTCCCTCTTGAGGAACTGTTAAGGGGTTTTCTTGTCTGTATGCTGAAACGTAAAAGATTATTTTTGCTTTGACATAATTATTTTGTAAGTATTTTTATTTTAGTGTTGTGAGGTCATGTGACAAAATATTTGTCGTGTATCTTTTTATGAATTGTAAGGCATTGAACCTCGATTCTTAGCTGTAATGTGAGCTTAGAGTTTTAAAGCTTTGGAAGTTATTTGTTCAAAAATAGTCCAAAACCAAGTAAAACTATGTTACGTTGGGGGTGTAATGTGAATTTCTGCATGCTCTGACAATTGGAATCTGATCCAGTACAGGTTAAGGAACTTTTCCTTTGTTCTTACTGATTCTCCGACTTTAGACCATAACTTCAGTGGCTTCTGATTTTTTACAGGGACAAGAAACATATGTTGTAGGTAGCAGTCAGCAGTGTCCATTTTTCGATGAGTTGCATGCAGTTTTATCAGCAAGTGCCAATGATATGCACCAAACTCAGTTCGACTATGAGGTTGCTTTGATGCGGGGAAGAAAGAGGCTTAAAAATGTTACCGGGTATCAATCCGCAGAAAAAGAAGAGGAGGATGATGAGAGTAATGCGGAAGAGGTTGTAAAGGCACCTAAAAGGAGGGTCGGGAGAGAAAAACAACAAAGAACAAGAGCATCAGAGAAACTTTCAAAAGAGTCTTCTACAAATACAGACAATACCGATAGCATTCTTAGTAGTCTTAATGAGATGATGAAGAGTTTCTTCCAGCAACAACAGGTAATCGACATGCAGTGGAGGGAGTCTATGGAGAAACGAGCCCAAGAACGTGATCTTTGTGAGCGGGAATGGCGACAAACAATGGAAAAACTTGAAAGGGATAGACTGATGATGGAACAGGCTTGGAGAGAGAGGGATGAGAAGAGGAGGACGAGAGAAGACAGCCTGGCTGAGAAGAGGGATGCCCTCTTGACAACACTAGTGAACAAGCTTGTCCCATGAAGACAATCCTTGAGGTGCATACCAGTATAATGGACAAGATTTTGATCTCTTTTTCTTCTTTAATATTTTTTAGTACTATGCAATCGTCCCTGAACATGTGTGAGACGTATTTTGACTTTTATAGAAAGTAAAACTCTTCAAAGGTTAGAATTGTGTTGGGTTATAACTACAATGTTAAACTTTTATTAATGTTTAGAGCATCTCCAACAGTCTTTATTTATAAGAGCATCTTGTGCATTATACACATCATCTCTAAATTTAAAGAGTTAAAATTTCTATGTACTCCAACAGTGCTCTCGATTTTGCCTCTTTATTTTGCTTTTCTTAAGTTGATATCGCCTTATATTTTATTGAACATAATTTTTTATATGTCAATCAATTTAAATGTGATTGGAATAGTTTAAGAAATAAAATATTAAAATCTATGTCTTATTAAATGCAACCATTGTAAATCAAGAATAGAAAGTGAGTTTTGACTCTTTTGTATTTAGAGAGTTTGAGATCCTCTAAAAATATTGCATTTTCAAGAAGCTATTACCTTGAGATTTCACAAGGGTTTATGGTCGTGTTTTTTGCAAGCCCTGGCTAGGCTAGGCTTGTTCCGTATCAAAACAATGTAGTCCGGCCCACTTGTAGACCAAGCTAATCCGTTTGCCTTGTTTTAAAGGAAAAAATTCACAACTCAGACTTTATCTGTCCTAAAATAAAAAATTAGGCCCCAAAGTTTAGAATTACAAAAATCAAGTTTTTCATGAATTAATTAATTATATTTCCCAATTATTATATTAAATTAAATATTTAATTGTAATATAATATAACTTACCCACGGATTATTTCGAGGTCACACATCTAAAATTTTATAGGTCACAGAATATTTTATTGGTGACATATCAAAAAATTATATGTTACATGTCCCGTACTTTCATATTTGTTGGTCACAGATTCCTAATTTAGTTACAAATTATCAATTTCAAAGTCACAGAAAATCATATAGTTGGTCATATACATCCAAACACACCGTCCCCCGATCTAAACCCACCACCAACATTGGTCACAGATCGACCAACTTGGACATTCTTCGTCGCATCACCGCCACCACCATAACCATCTAGCAATAATAACACCAAAAACAACCACCACCCAAACCACCACCAACAGATCCGCCAATAACAGCCACATACACAGATCCGCCCCACACCCAGGGCAAGAAGGAGGATCCCCCGTCGATCCAACAACAAATTTGAGGACACAAAGGAGTCAGTTTAACAATCAAGGTCGGAACTCAACTTCAACAGCAGATCCCCCGTCGATCCAACAAAAAATTCGAGGACACAAAGGAGTCAGTTTAACAATCAAGGTCTATAACAAACCTACCTGAATTTCATAGTAGCATTCAACGCTGTTGTGAATCCCAGCAGCGTCAACGCTGCTGTGAATCTCACAGCAGCGTTCGACTGTTGTGCGATTCACAACAGCGATTCTTGCAGCGTCTACGCTGCTGTGAACCAATAGGGGCGCTCCGACAAGGAGGGAGAGAGAGAAATGGAAGAGGAGAAGGTAGGGAGGGAGAGAGAAATGATGTGAGGGGGTGGGGGTGAATTGTTAAATTAGAGTTTTAAAGGATTAATTATTTAATTAAAATGATAAAAAAAACCTTTGTTTTTTAAAATATAAAAAACCTGATAAATGAAAAAAAATCATGAAAACCTGATTTTTTAAAAAGTGAAAGAAAATGTATGGTTTCATGTAATTACCACTTGTTTTAAATGGGTTAATTACATAAAGGTAATACATAAATACGAAAAAGAATTGAATTTCATTCACGATTCTGGATATCTTGAAATAAATTTTACAGCTTAGAATACTAAAAATATCTTAAGGGAAAATTTCATGTATAAGAGAGTAAACCCTTGTTTGAGCTCTTTTTTTTTTTCAAAAACCCAAGGTCTGTTCTCTTTACCGTTTCGAGCCATTTTCTATTTTTGATTTTTCAAAACAGTGAAAACGCGTTCTCTTTCATATTTTCGAAAATGCGTTTTCAAAAACAAAAAAAAAAATTATATTGAAAACACAAAACATCATTTTTTACGTTTTGGGTGTTTTCAGTACAAAATACGAAAAAAATGGAAAACACACAAAATCATCTCTTCCTTCTCTCTTCTTCCAATCTCGTCTCTTCCTTTTCTCTTCTCGACGCTAGCGATCCATTCAAATACTGCAACCGACGACAAAGGAAATGCTCAGTGCCGATAGGAGGGCGAATGTGGGGAGGCGACACTACTGTGAACGCAGCGTCGAGACCTATTCATCGCGATGCTGTTGTGGTTTGGGACCGTCTATGCTTTCTCTCTCTTCGACGTTATCAACCCATTGAAGATGCGATATTTGCAGGTTTGGGCCCGTCTCTACCTTTTGGTTTTTTTGATCTACTATTTTGGGGGTTTTTTGGTTTTTTCGATCTGGTGGCGACGAAGGTTTTTGTTGGAGGTGTTGGTGAGGTGTTGGTGGGGCGATCGACGAGGTGATGTGGTGCGGTGGTGTAACTTGTGTTGCTAGTGCGGTGCCGTAATGGTGGTGTTACAAACATGGTGGTGGTGATGGCAGCGTAGTGGCGGTGGGGACTGGTGGTGGCGATGGCAAGTAGTGGTGGTTGGTTGTGTTGATTGGCAATGGCAACAGTTGTTGTGCTGGCGGTGGTGACTGGTTGTGTTGATTTTGATGGCGGCGATGGCAGTGGTGGTTGTGTTGATTTTGATGGCGGCGATGGCAGTGGTGATTCTAGTGGTGCCAGCTTTGTGGTGGTGTTGTGGTGGTTTTCTGTAGAAAAAATTATCAAAATATATTCTCAAAATTTCCAAGTAAATGCGTTTTTCATTTTTATATTTTGCGAAATATTTTTTCAGAATGACAAAATGGACGTATCTTCAACAATTTCAAAACATACATTCAAAACACAAAATTGAAAACTGAAACACGAAGAGAGCATATCCTCATTTTTTCAAAATCATTTTTAACCACACATTCTCTAATAAAATAATTTTACACGTAAATCAGAAAAATTCCTTACTTTTCAATCACACATTTAAAAAAGAAACACAGTTAAAAATACATTTTTTCTCCAAAATGGAGCTCAAACAACGACTAAGTATGACCCATTTTAAAACTAAGAAACAAGATTTATAATTTCAAAAGTCAAATATTAATTAAATTTTATTTATGAAATAATTAATTAAAATATATTTTATTAATTAAATATATTAAAGTCACAATTCCTTACAATTTGGTCGCAAATTATTGAATTAATTGGTTACAAATTATTTTTTAATCACAAATCAAAAATTTTATAAACCGCAATTTATTCATCAATCACAAAATTTTTTAAAAAAATTATACATTACAATTTATTTATCGGTCATTAATCATAAATATTATATGTCATAATTTATATAACGATTACAAATTATCAAATTAATTGATTACAAATTATTTCTAGATCACAATTTAATAAATTACATGGTACAGTCACATTTTTAAGGTCACATACCACAACCTCGTTTACCAACATCACCACCACACACCACAACACTAAAGGTGAATATGCACACGCAACTGCATCCACCACAACAATACAAAAACCACACCACCAACCAAGAAACCAACAACCAACGAACTACATCGCATTGCCAGCGACAATGACAACTAACGATCCAAAATCACAGATCCAAAACACGGGGGTAAAACTTTGGGTAGCTCACAAATTAATGGCAACATGTCACATATCAAAATAAATAGGTTACGAATCAAATGTCATGGGTCTTTGTACATTGATAACATAGATTATTGTTCACAGGTCACATGTTACACTTTATAAGCTACATGTCATAGGTAAATAATATATCAATATTCACATGCTACTAATTTATGTTCACAAGCCATATGTAATAGTTTATAGGTCACAAATCAATCTTAATATGTCACATATCACATGTCAAAAGTNATATGTATTCTCGTCTTAAATTGAGAGTCTCATATCTAGTTGATATTTAATTTATTTTTTAACGTAGGTCGAATTTCACAAATAAAATTTTTTTACTCGAAAACATTATGAAGTTTAGTGATCACTCAGAAATATTTTAAAGTCCAGTTAGTAAAGCGTGACAGGTGTATAAGTTTAGTTAATAATGAAATTATGCCCTTGGTTGATCTCCATTTTATAAAAAATTCTTTTTTTCAAAACTCATTATCATACATTCTCTAATAAAATAATTTTACACGTAAATCAGAAAAATTCCTTACTTTTCAATCACACATTTAAAAAAGAAACACAGTTAAAAATACATTTTTTCTCCAAAATGGAGCTCAAACAACGACTAAGTATGACCCATTTTAAAACTAAGAAACAAGATTTATAATTTCAAAAATCAAATATTAATTAAATTTTATTTATGAAATAATTAATTAAAATATATTTTATTAATTAAATATATTAAAGTCACAATTCCTTACAATTTGGTCGCAAATTATTGAATTAATTGGTTACAAATTATTTTTTAATCACAAATCAAAAATTTTATAAACCGCAATTTATTCATCAATCACAAAATTTTTTAAAAAAATTATACATTACAATTTATTTATCGGTCATTAATCATAAATATTATATGTCATAATTTATATAACGATTACAAATTATCAAATTAATTGATTACAAATTATTTCTAGATCACAATTTAATAAATTACATGGTACAGTCACATTTTTAAGGTCACATACCACAACCACGTTTACCAACATCACCATCACACACCACAACACTAAAGGTGAATATGCACACGCAACTGCATCCACCACAACAATACAAAAACCACACCACCAACCAAGAAACCAACAACCAACGAACTACATCGCATTGCCAGCGACAATGACAACTAACGATCCAAAATCACAGATCCAAAACACGGGGGTAAAACTTTGGGTAGCTCACAAATTAATGGCAACATGTCACATATCAAAATAAATAGGTTACGAATCAAATGTCATGGGTCTTTGTACATTGATAACATAGATTATTGTTCACAGGTCACATGTTACACTTTATAAGCTACATGTCATAGGTAAATAATATATCAATATTCACATGCTACTAATTTATGTTCACAAGCCATATGTAATAGTTTATAGGTCACAAATCAATCTTAATATGTCACATATCACATGTCAAAAGTTTTCTCTGTGCACTAATAATAGGTTACTGATTTATGTGCATGTCACATGTCACTGGTTGAAGGTCGTAGGTCAACCAACACCGACGATGAATATGATACATTCAACAAAAAAACGTGCACATAACCCATTTTTCTGCAAGTGTACGCGAAAAAATGTCGTTCACAATTAACATTATCGCAAACAAATGTCACAATTCGATTAGATACAGGTCACAACTCTTAATTACATGTCACGTAAAGTGTACAATATCAATTTCAATAGGTCACAAATCAAAATTAATTGGTCATACATCAGATGTCACATATGTTTATGCATTGATAACATAACACTAATTCAAGTTCAGAGATCTAACTTTCAATTACAAAAAAATTTTAAATTTGAATTTTGAATCGGGCATTTTAAAACTCTGGATTGATGTAATTTCCACGTATCATAATCACATGTTAATGTATGCTAATGACTATACAACAAAATTTCAATAAATAAGTGTCTGATAAATTAAAGATTTAGCTTAAATAATAATATTTTCGATTTCAAATGTGGCCAATTAATTAAATTAATAACGTCGCTAAATGCATAAGATACTGATTTTATTTAAAATCTTTTAGACCCCAATAAAAATATAAACAATAGTTAAGATATATAAAATTTTGTAATATATATTAATGAAATTTTTACTAAAAAACTTCTATTTTTTTTTTTTCAATTCAAACTTTCTAAAGATATGCTTGTAAAGGTCTTTACTTTTTCTTTTAACTCAAACAAAACTCATCTCTAAACTTTTTTTTTTTTTGCAATGCATATATGCATTTGGTATATTTATCCAATTTATTAGAAAATAATTATTTACGGTAGTTTTATTCACACTACATTTTTTTTAGTCAATCACATTTTAATTGCACCTAAGATCCACAATCTTTGTTCATTAGATTCCTTATGTTCCCTTTTTTTTTTTGACGTATTATTATCCCCAACCTTCCTTAGTTAACACATCCCGTCTTCGATAACTTTTGTCCAAAAGGTCCTTTGAGAGAGTATTAAACGACTTATTTGTCCGTCATGTCTTTAAAAACAATAAATGTAAAAATATATTATTTTTCCCTCATTTTAGAATAAGCAAACATAATTTTTGACAAGAGGAACGAGAATGCTAATTATTCATTTATTGGTAAATTAATATTAACTATTCTAAAGTAATAATTTTTCTCGATCTCAATATTATTGGTTCACCTTCTAATTTTGTTTCTATTTATTGTTTAAAATCAATTTTGTACAAGGACACAAGTCTAACCCTTTAACTCTCAAATGATGTAATTCATAATGAAAATTATCGATCGTTGTTCTACGTGATTTACATGTGACAATTTGTTATTTTGCATTAATGTGGTATTTTTTTGTTGCCTCATACATCAAATAACAAATTATTACATGTATGTCACGTATAACGATTATAGATAGTATTCACTATAAATAATATTATTCTTAGCTTTCTATCCTTTTTTTATTTTTTTTCTTTCTTTCAAGAGCCAAACCCTTCGGAAAGAATAGACAGTTTAACTAGCTTTTTTTTTTGTGTCTCTATTATTGTCCAAAATAGTGTACAATTCGCCCACCAAACTTGCTATTATGGCTTGTTTGGTAGTCGATTACAAAGAACATCATAATGTAGAAGATTATGACTTATTTTTCACTTTGGTGAAATTAATTAATTAGCTTTTCACTTTCTAAGAACATGTCTTATAAAAAATAAAAATCAATATGAAACAAATCTCCTCCTCGAACAGTACAGGCGTCGGTCGAAGGCGTGTGAAGTCACTGCCACACGTGCTATCTTTCGATTCCCATTGGCTCTCCTACGAATGCCATTATAATTCGACCATCTCTCCAACAGACACACACTAACACTTTCTCTCTCTCACACACACTGTGCTAGAATCCAAACCACCCTCCACACTCTAGTACAGACCATACATATACATACAGAAATGTTTACATGCATTTATGTTTAGAGAGAGAAAGTGAGGACCCTTTTCAATTTTTTGTTGCAATTACATAACTTTACAACTCAACTCTCTCTCTCTCTCTCTCTCTCTCTCTCTCTATTTCTTCTTCTTCGTGTTTTGAGCTTAACTTCGTATTCACAAATCAAATCTTCCATCGCCACTGCCTCCACCGGGTATTTTGTTGTTTTACGGATTTTAGTCAAAACTTCCTAAGTTTTGCTAATTTTAATCGGTATAAAATTGATACACTCACAGGAAAATGCTTAAATTGTGAATAAATTGGTTGTTTAGTATTCTTGACGATAATGGGTGGCTGAATTATGCTAAAATTGGCACTTGCTGACTGTCTGAAGTGATGATTTTGATCTGCTTTTTTATGAATAAACGATGAATTAAAGTTAATTTTCAATGTACTGCGTGGAACCTTTATTAGTTATTGTTGTTTACTATTTTTTTTGTTTTCAAATTTTTGGTCAGCAATAATTTACTGTCACCGATGGCAATGACTGTAGTAGGTCGTAATGTAGTCTAGAAAAGTGTGGAGAAGGAAAAGAATTTGATACATAAGAGTGTAATTTGGTGCACTCTTGCATTTAATACTTTGTTAACAGTTATAAGACATTGAAATTATGTATCTTTGAGAAATATTAAGAAAGACTAGTAAGAGAGATGGGTATTAGTTTGGGAACTTAAAAAGACTTTGAAAAAGTCAAACTTTCCAAATTTCTATCTATAAGCACTCATACTTTCTCTTGAAATTTTCATTTACTCTTTGATTAATCAATATCCCATGCTTATATAGAATTGATGAGTTATATTTGTGTGGGTGAATTTTGCACAAACAATAATGGACTACTATACTGGAAATGGTGGTGTTGTTAGGACGTAGTTCTATGGTATATTGTAATATCTAAAGCGAAGAGAAAGGGAAGTGGAAGAAAAGGCTATTTGAAGGGCTGGAGTGGCTAATTTGAAATGAAAACTGACTATTCACCCATTTTTCTCTTGGTGTAACATGAAATTGACCTGTCACAATGTTTGAAATTGTAGCATCATCTAGGAGGTTGTTCAATGCAATGCAATGCAATGCTTGAAAGGGGGCACTTTGGGCTTTGCATGCTATTTTAAATATTTCAGATACCCACAACCTCATTTCTTTTCTGATTTAATTATGATTGCTATCATTTTCATTTATTTTATTCTATTCCTTCTTTTTCAGCTTTTAATGGGAATGAGAGTTTTAAAGACTGAAAGGTTTGTGCATAAAATTCATTAGGTTTGTTAGTACTTTGTAGATGCATGTTGAATATGGGTTTTCTATGGACAATTTTAGAAGTACTGATTTAGAAGTTAAACTGGTAATATAGAAAGCAGCGCTGTTCTTTTGGGTTTTTGGTTTTCACATCTTATGAAGTTCGTGATTTACCTGCAAGTGACCACATTGAATGTATGGTTCATGATATATGGAAAGGAAACTTGTGGAAGGTGCTCATTTAAAAGTGAGGAATCAAGTTGATAAGAGTTTAACTACACCAGCAAATGAGTTATGCTTCTTCTTTGTAGACTCCTTATATGTTGGTGGAGAAGTTTAGGAGGCTATTGCTGGCTCAATGTTATGGCTAGTACTTCTGGATCAAATAACAATTTTTTCTAGACAACAAAATGTTCAAAAAATGGTTTTATTGATGTGGGATTGATGAGGTTGATGCCTGTGTTTGTGTGAAGGATTACAAAATAAAAAAGAAAATGATTTTGAAAATCCCGAAGGGCATGAATGATAAAGTTAAAGGGAATCATATCTGTTGATTGAACGGCATGGATACGGAAGTGACGTAAGGCACACATAGCATGCCTTTGATAGGTTCACAGGTCAACTGCTTTAAAAAAAAAAGGACATAGAATTAGTATTGATATATTGAGAACTAATTCAAACATGTCTAAATGTGTGCACGCATATATATCAAGAGAAAATATAAGTAGGATAATGCTATAGAAGTAAATCCCTTTTTGATGATTAATATTCACACACTCATGTAATGAAGTCAAGCATGTGACTTTTTTCTTTTCACTAAAAGTTGTTAAAGTCTTGCTTTTGTTCCATCTACCATCTACAGCCATAATTCTTTGAGGAGTTCACTCCTACTTGAGATGGCAATTGTTTGACAACTTAAGCATTATGTTCCAATGATTAGGCTTCAAAATTTTTCAAGCTAGTAGTTGGAGTTGAGTCTTTTGTGTTGGTTAGACCCCTGTGTAGCAAGAAAGTACACAGTTACAATGCGCGATGAATAGACAGTATTTGAGTGCAAAATTTGTAAAATCCCATTCTTCATTGGAAATAAGGGAATTATTTAAGTGGTTTACAAGGATTAATTTGGGCCAATTGGCTCCTACTTGAAACTATGGTTCAGTGGTTGGATCATTACAATATTATATCATTTTGCTAACATAGGTCCTACCTACACTTCTCAAAGCATGCTTATCCGCATATTGTATATACATTAATGAGATAGTTCCTCTCATCCTTCACACGCTCTCAAATACTGTCTATTCATGGTGCCTTGCTCTGGTCTCCACTGCTGTTTCTTATTTATAAATATTTAAAAAAAATTTATTTTTGTTTCCCAGGGGGATTTGAAGTGGCTGCAATGTGGCTCTCGTCAACTTGATAACTGCATGTTCAAAGGAACCATTATGGAGCTCTGTGCATTAGATGCTATGTAGTGACCTTTTTATGCCTGATTAGAGCTACAATGGGCAACTTCCGCATATATTTCCAGCAACCATTGCTTTTATGCACTCTATTTCTTTATACTCTGGCAAAAGAAACTGAAGCTCTCAATCCGGATGGTATGGTGGTATAATTTTTTGTTCATTAATTTCTTTCATTTTGCATGGGTACTTGGGTATAGACCATCTAAAGATGTTAATGGATGTCTTTTTTTTGGTGTAATATATTGCATCTGTTTAAATCAAAAACATCATGAAATACAAGTCTACTGCAACTTGGAATGTGTTTAATTGTTAAAATTATCTCCTTTTAAGTACATTAAGCTTCTATTGCCTGTCAGTAATTTCATTTATACAAATCCTTTCCAACTTTTTGAACATTAATAAATGGGGAATGCAGAAATGCTTATACCTGAAAAAGTGCTTTCTGATTTTCAGGACAGGTGCTTATCAACTTTAGGACAGCCATCATTAGTTCAGATGGTGTTCTGCAGCAGTGGAGACCAGAGGATCCTGATCCATGTGGGTGGAAAGGAGTACAATGCGATCCCAACTCAAAAAGAGTTACAACCTTGTGAGTTCCACAATGTTGCAAGATTTGTGGAGACTTAAGTTTCATGAAATATATGCAGGGGCTTAGACTGTGCAAAGCTTTAATGGTTGTATGATTAGGATAACACGAAACACTTTTGTTGCTTCTTTCCAATTGGTCCAAGTTGAATGTCTTCATTTCTCTTTTGTAATTCCCAAATTAATGTCACTTGCCTGAAATAAGCAGTTACTTGTTTGTTTGCTAAATGAATAATTATTCCATTTCTCAAACATGAAATTTATTGTTATACAACTTCTGTAATCTGATAGGAGACAATTACTTCCATAAGTAGGAGCTTATTTGGTAGATATTAAAATTGGATTAAAATTGAAAAATTAGTCGTTATTGTTTACTTTTATTTGACGAGTGAGACTCAATAACGGCTATATTTTCAATTTTAATTGGATTAAAATCTCTTCCAAACAAGCTCTAGATATTCCTATCATATTTTTAGTATTAATTGCATAGATTAGACTACACCATTTTCCAAAAACATGGATATACATTCACTGTATAGCACTATCAAGTAAACGGAGGATTGAAATTTAATATTCAATATCACATTTTTTTCTATGGACGCTAACATAAATTATGAAATTTAATATTCCTCAAAAGTCAAAACTTGCAGTTCCATATATAATTAGGTTTTCTTTCTTTTCCGCTTTTCTTTCTTAAAAGTTTGTAATGCTATAAAAATTTACCTCTTGTTTGTACTATATTTTTTTCCCAAGTTCTTCAAAGGTTCATGCTATGGATGTCAGGAATGTGAACCTGGGTTGATAGACAGTAGTCTTTATGCAGTAATTTACTTCTAATAATTGGTATCACTTATTGTTCAGGAGCCTCCCTAACCACAAGTTTAGTGGACCTATATCACCTGATATTGGGAAGCTAGAAAGTCTACAATTTCTGTATGTATCTATTTCTTCCTCTTTCCCATCTCATTCTTATAACAACTGTTGATACTGTGATAATTATATGTTTGTAGAGCTCTTCATGGCAACAATTTATATGGGTCAATCCCTCCAGAATTGGGAAATCTGACTAGGTTGCAGTCAATGTAAGTACAATAGGGAAACTATTTCTTTGAAGTTTACCATACTGTCAATATTTCTGACAAGCTTAAATTCTGTAATTTGATCCTGAGGTTATAACCTAAAACGTGGTGTTATGCAAGATGAAGTATTTGAGGGACCTAAATCTTAATTCTTTTATCATTTATTAATCTCTGCTGTAGAATTTGCTGCAAAGTAACGGCAGTTTATATAAAACTGCAAAAAGGCATTGGTTACATTTTATGATGAATACTAACATCTCAAAAAATATTTTAGCTACTTTGCAGCCATTGAATACTTTGTCATGTCAAAATATGTCATTGAAGATAACTACCCATGGCGTGTTTCTCTAATTCATCACTGTTGTGTTCTCTCTGTCTTTCTGGTTTTCTAAGTTGTGAGGAATTCTTGATTCTCTTTTATGCAGGTTTTTGCAGGGTAACTACTTAAGTGGATTTATTCCGAGTGAGCTGGGAAACCTTTCTCTGCTTGAGAATCTGTAAGTAATTTTATCTGCTTTATGGAAGACTCTTCACTGTGATTCCATGGTAGCCAAATGAAATTTGAAGTATGTACATGTTGTCGAGACTTTGTGCTCTATTAACGTGATAGACAGTCTCAATATGAAAGCCATCGGCAGATGTCACCATTTATCAATCTTCCTTTCAGTGGGTGCAAAGTTAAAGTATTCACTACTAGGATCAAACCACACCAATGCGTAATTTTGTAATCAACAACTGTAAACAACCTTCTCTTTCATTAATGAAGAAAAATATCAGTTGACATCATTTTGGGATAGCTGGTAACCTCTTTTGGTCAAGCTGAATCAATAAGTATGAGATAATTTATTGTATCCTTTTCGCTGTTGGATGAGATGTTGCAACATTGTTTATACTTTCATCCGACTCCTGTTGACTTTGAACAAACATGGTAAAAGGTGATTTCTAAACTGCAAGATCATGTCTTACATAAGATAGAGTTTCAAGCCAGATCATTAAATGAATTTGTAATGCATCTTCTTCAGATAAAAGGATAGAGGTTCAATGTGTATGCTATCAGCCAGCTTGCATTCAATAAATGCTTCTTTTATCCTGAGAAAGAAAAATATTGTACTTCCAGAGGGAGGCAGACTTGGAGCATCTAGAGAAAACACTTTAGCGTGATACTGCTACTGAAGGAAAATAAATTTCATTGCTAGTGATTAAATGAGTATAGGCTAATGCTCACAGTTATTTAGCTCTTGATGATCAGATCAAAAGGAGCCATGTAATAATTAGTGAGATACGTCAAAGTGGTATCATATCTATAATATAAAATATGTTACCAATTGGAAGTAGTCTAAACAAAAAGAATGGATTGAAGACAAATAAAATTTTACACTGGCAAGTAAGCCTGTCCTCAAAACTTTTGGTCTTTGTCCAAGCTAATCAGAGTAAGTGTTTCAAGTGAGACTATTTACAGGAGTGTCCTCTCTTGTCCTCCTTTTGCTTATAGGTATAGTCGAGAAGCTTCTGTTTGCTGATTATCCCAGAACCAGGGTTCTTGACAATATCTTGTTGCTTGTGACAAGAAATTGTTACAAATTACACTAGCCATACTTTTAAATCTGTCCATGCAGCATGTGACCTGTGTAGTTATTTTCAATAGAATAAGAGAATTTTGGTATCACACATAGAAATGCATTTTTAGTAGTACAGGAGTCTTTTCCAAGTTAATGATTTAGTTCTCTGCTGGATTTTTCAGAGATCTATCAAGCAATTCTCTCAGTGGCAACATCCCTGCTTCTCTTGGGAAGTTAAGCAAGCTCTCGATTTTGTGAGTGCCTTAATTTCCAAGTTACATCAATCTTTTGGATGGTTTCCCCTGGTGTAATACTTATTGTTTCTCTCTTACAATGTTTGAAGCAATGTATCAACAAACTTTTTGGTGGGATCAATACCCTCTGATGGTGTTCTTGACAATTTCCGTAGTGATTCGTAAGTACTAAATGTATATGATCTTTTATTGAGTGGTCCAAATTGTCAGTATGCTTTGTGGTCTTCATTGTGAAGCTGGGTAGCATGGGTTTTGTATTTTCCTGTTAGTCTAAATCTTGCCTTTTGGTCTACTACACTCCTTGTTTAATTTTCTTAAATTTAATTCTCTTTATAGTTTTTGATTTCTTGTATTATTTCGCTGGGATCGAAGAGGATGGGAAATTAGAAAACTTTTTGTCTTATATTGTTTCATACAGGAAGTCTCCATCTAGATTGTTCCTAAATTTCATTTCCTTTCATCGTAACCCAAATGAGAGAATAGAATCTGACTTTCTTCCACGTTTTACTTGATTTTTCATTCTCATCATCATCTTCTCTTCTTTTATCTTCAACTGCAAGCAAACTAACCGTTAGATTTCTATTCCTGGTAGTTTTTGTGCATTCTCAGCAATGGTAGTAGTTGAAGTAGTAATAGTGCACCATCTCTTTGGAAATCAAAATAGACACTGACATGTATAAAAGCACATGAATCTGTTTGAAACATGAGTTATTGAACACATTACTTATCAGCTAACTTTGTCTTCTTATGCACAATTCAATAAGCAACTTTTTAGGTTTTGTAAATGTTTCTAATGAAAGCACTGTTATGATTTTCTGTTATTTTAATCTTTGCATAGAAGGTGTGTGATTGTGCATTTGAATTTGCATTGCTGATTGATGCTTCTCTTGGCAGCTTTGTTGGAAATCGTGAATTATGTGGCAAGCAGATAGAAATATGCAAGAACAATGGTGGTTCTTCGGCATTGTCGCCCACTGATATAGGTAAAATTTATCACATAGGAGATTGTTCATTCGATGTTTTTCCAGTTTCCAGTGGCTGAGATATTTAGTCAACAGTATGTCCTGTGAAGGCTGGACCTTGTGAGAGAGCAAACAAAGGGACAGGCTAGCCTTTTCCTTTGTGATCAGAGATAGATTTTACTTGTGTGCAGACGTACAACTCACATACCCAGGAGCGAGGCTCATGCATGATTTCATATCTGCCAAATCTTCTGATTTCCAGTGCGTTGACCTGATAGTGATGTGGATATTATGAGAATCTAATGTGCTGATGAGGCTGTTGAAGATCTTATTAGAAGTGTGATGATATGAATGACTTTTAGGCTTTTTGTAGTTCTTGACTTTTAGTAGTGGATTATTTTTATGTGATTACTGGTTTGATGATTTACTAAAATCTTATTTCATTTTTATTAATTGGTTTGAATTATTTTATTGGTTTATGTCGAGACTTACATTTCCTAGACTGGTGGAGGCAAAACACCTTGGTTATCTATTGATCCTTTTTAAACAGAGAATGCATTATCATGGATGCAAAGGATATGATCTTAATCCCATTTTCGAAATCTTTCATCTTCATTTTCACTTAATTATTAGTTAGTTCAGTAAATTATTATATATCTAGCGAAGCAAAGCATTGACAAAAAAAGGTACGATGATAGAATGTTGGTCATATCTCGGGATTATTTATTTAGTTACTTTTTAATATAGAGCAGGATGTAGAACATGAGTGAGAATGCCCATTAATAACGAAGGTGCCTTTGTTCCTTGTTAGTTCACCTTAATTTTTTCTTTTCCATTATATCCTTTAAAGGTAGCATCTAATGTTGGTCTTTATGATGTTTTTAGCCCAAAGTCAGTTCAAGAAGAAATATTCAGGACGCCTTCTCATAAGTGCACTTGCTACTGTGATTGCATTACTTTTGGTAGCGCTTGTGTGTTTCTGCAGCTGCTTCCTGTATAAGAGGCTTGGCAAAAATGATAGGAAAGGCCTTGCTATTGACGTCAGTGGAGGTACTTATTTATTACCTATGCACCGAAATTATGTTTACAATACTTGTTATCTGTTAATTCTTTGTGCTGTTTAATATTTTTTACATATTGAACATTTCTTAACTTTCATTACTCAGGTGCATCAATTGTGATGTTCCATGGTGACTTGCCTTACTCTTCAAAAGACATCATAAAAAAATTGGAGACATTGAATGAGGAACACATAATTGGTGCTGGGGGCTTCGGAACAGTGTATAAGCTTGCAATGGACGACGGTAAAATATTTGCCTTGAAAAGGATTGTGAAGATAAACGAGGGGTTTGATCGTTTCTTTGAAAGGGAGCTTGAAATCCTTGGAAGTATCAAACATAGATACCTGGTAAACTTGCGTGGATATTGCAATTCTCCAACATCAAAATTGTTGATTTATGATTTTTTATCCGGAGGCAGCCTAGATGAAGCTCTTCATGGTAAGATACCTTTTTTTTTTTTTGCATAATATCTATTAGGTTATGTTTTACGTGTACTGCCAATCTTGAAAATATGGACGAACGCATGTTATAAAAATGCGTGTGTTTGAAACCCATCTTATTTCAGTGTATTCCTGAAAGGACTGTGTTGCAAAAATAATGCTACATAGGGAGTGTAGAATGATTCTTGAGATTTTGCAGTCATGCTTTTTGATCTTTGAAGTTGAGTTGCATGTGCCGACTTGGTCAACCTTGCAAAATATCATCATTGTTGCTTTACTTCGAGGTCTTGCTGTTTTATATTCCTTTTACAAGGAAAATAGAATGAAAATACTTCCGCAGTTGGAACTTATCTTAAACCCGTAATTTCTGCCTTTCACGAATCCAATGGTGCATGTTTCTGTTGGGCCAAATATGGAGGAAAACACCATTTAACATAAGATGACTTTATATTTTAGGTGGCCTATAGGGTCACCTAAAATATAAAAAATGTGACAAGGATTATGTGGCAAGGATTCCAGTCTATATTCTACAAGTGGGCCATCTGTATTCTACATGCTTTTCATTTTAGGTTTGAAATTTGTGTAAAAGCCTTGACATGGATGACATCATGATGATGCCTACATTTAACAGCTGAAGAGACTCGGTTACAAGGAGGAAAAATCACTCTATCTCAAAATTTACCCACCATTTTACTTCATGATCCACCTTTTAAGTGGATTTTTGTTCCAGTACTGCATTCTAGCAATGTTTTCCGTAATAATTTTTGAGGTGCAACTGACTATTAGGCCTCAGTTTTTGTGTCTTTTTACAAAGAAGGATTTGGCCTGAGGATTTCAGAACAATGAAATAAAGGAATCCTACTATTGTAGATCTTTTTGTTTCTATCAGAATTTTGGTGGTCACTACTGATGCTAAGAGCCTGAAAATTTGACATTCTAAGAAATAACACTTAGATCTGTGATTATATAATTTCATTAAAGCTTGCAGGTTGATTCCTTATTGTAATAATATAAATACCCTTTTCTAATCTCGAGGAAAACCCACTTCCAGGATATCATTAATTGACAATGTTGCAAAGCACATCCCCTCCACTAAGGAACACCAAACTCCTGGTCATATCTTTTTGTGCTCTGTGTAAGGCTTTTCTGATTGCTGAAATAGGCTTGCCTTTTGGGAAACAAGCTAAATGATAATTGGGAATATATCTAACTAATCATCTTTAGTATTAGTAAAAAAGTTAGAGCAACACTTAGGTAACAACAGCTAGAAAGTTTGCATCATTTCATATTCTTAAGTTCCATTATAACTGAAATTTTTCAATCTTCATGCAATTTCCATGCCCTCGATATCCACATTCATGTGTTCTTAGTCTTTAAAGTGAAATGTTTATTTCTTGCATTTGCGAAGTTTCTGCTGGACGGCAATCATCTTTTAGTTTTTTATTGCAATTTAACTTTTCATTCTTGTCTATGTATCTGTGAATAAAAGCTGCCAAAGTTTTCGTCTATGAGTTTTAGCAAGTAATGAACTCATAGCCTCTAACCTGAACATGATGTTCTGGTGTTTAACTATTTATGATTTCATGTTTGTGTTGGAAAATAATATATTAAAGCAATATATTTAAGTCGAATGAAATTGTAACAACAATTCATAGGTTTCAAGTCTAGTCAATTCTATAGTTAATTTGTATTTGAATAGGTTCAATTCCATAATCAATTTGTGGTAACAAATTCGTTCAAATAGTTAATTTGTATTTGAATTTGTTCAATTCCATAATCAATTTGTGGTTACAAATTCATTCATGTTTATTTTAACTTTTTTTTTTGTGTTAAATACAAAATTAACTAAGAATTTGAAACCTCTCTCATCCTAGTACTATATAAAGAGGTGTTTTCCTTATTCTTCACAGCAAAAATTTGAGAGTTCTTTCTTCACTCTAAGTTTATCTCTTATCTTTGCTTCAAGAGTTTAGTTTTTAGTAACTTAGATACATTAGTTTTTTGATCTAGTTTGGTGATAGAATTATGAGCATTCTTAGTCAATCTAAAATAGTGACGAGGTGCTAATCAGCTACTTTCAACCGTTGTATCCTGGGAGATAGATGCCACCAGTTCTCTTGCACCACCAGTAGGGGGTGAATCTGTTTTAAGAAAATTGTGTGCAACATGCCTCGGTTATTTTCAATACCGCTATCACCTCAACAACTATTTCCTCTAATTTTATTGTTATTTCCTTCCATTATTTTATTTATACAATTCTAGCAATATTTCTAATTTCCTTATTGTTATTTACTTCCATCCTCTTTGATGTTGTAACTAAAGTATTGTTCACATTTTCTGGTTACAAACAACTCATCATTCATTCATTGGACTGTTACAAACCTCTCACGTCGTCGTGATACAATAACACTATCTATCTTCCATGCAGAGAGGGGTGAGCAGCTAGATTGGGATGCTCGTTTGAATATTATCATGGGAGCTGCAAAAGGGCTTGCCTATCTGCATCATGATTGTTCCCCTCGGGTTATCCATCGTGATATCAAGTCAAGCAACATTTTGCTTGACGGAAATTTTGATGCTCGAGTGTCTGATTTTGGACTGGCTAAATTATTGAAGGATGAGGAATCCCACATCACGACAATTGTTGCTGGCACCTTTGGATATTTGGCTCCTGGTAAGGACAGGAAATTCTATTTCACTTTTGCCTGTTTTTGATTTAGTACACAAGATGGTCTAATGAAATGTCTCATTTTTCATATAAAAGTTTTATGTATTAATTTTCATCGTATGTGCATCGTGTATGTGAAATCTTGGTGCAAACCACTTTTCAATTTATCTGGTTACTCCAATTAAATAGAACTGAAATTGCATAGCTATGACCATAAAAAACCCAATTGAGGCCTGACTTAAGGCCTGCCTCAGAGTGAGGTGAGCAAAAAATACGTGAAGGCGCTAATTTGGGGCAATTTTTGGAGGCCTATGCCTCAGAGCACTGCCTCATGTTTTGTCAGGCGTGTTCTCCTTTTTTCCACTTGTTTATTTTGCTTTAGGTGTGGGCCCTTTAACTCATTAGAAATAATTCATTGCTCACTTTATGAGTTTGTGTTTTTCATACGTCCACTTTAAAAATAGTCCACTGTCCAACCTACTAAAATAATAATTTCCTTTTTGTTATTAGATTTTTCTTTTGTTTGTTTTCACGGGTTTAAATTGTTCTATTATGAATTTGAAGATTTTTTATGAGCTTCTTTTGCTTTTAATTTTTTGACATTTTTTCGTTTTACGGTGTCTTACGCCTTGAGGCTAATATCTTGCCTCATAAAGGAAAAAGGCCTCAGTACATGATTACAACTTTTTAAGCATTGGCTATGACTCCGTGACAAAATACTATGTCAACCCCGTGAGCTTCATAAATAAGGGAGTGGCATAAATTTTAATCAGAATACTGATTTAGATATTTTCTTTCCTGCTTCGCCACAAGAAGGTATGCTAACCACTCATGGCATTTGAATATGCAGAATATATGCAGAGTGGGAGAGCTACAGAAAAGACTGATGTTTATAGTTTTGGGGTTTTGGTGCTTGAAATTGTGAGTGGAAGACGGCCTACTGATGCTTCCTTCATCGAGAAGGGCCTAAACATCGTTGGATGGGTATGCCTTTTCATAGTTCCTTTCTATCGTATATCTTTACCGCCAAGCTAATGATTTATTGCTCAAGATGCGCAAGTAAAACTAATATAATTAGACTTGACTTCTTATCTCAATTACTAGTCTATGTACGAAAATACTACAGAACATTAATGATTGGCGTAATAGTATCAATTTTGTTTCTGTCAATGCTTATGTTGAGCAACTAATTCATTTCTTTTCAATTCGTTTTGCAGTTGAATTATTTAGTTTCGGAAAGTAGACAGCGAGAAATAGTCGATCCACTCTGTGAAGGGGTACAAGTAGAAAGTCTCAACACCTTACTTTCAATTGCCAACCAATGTGTTTCTTCAGGTCCCGATGATCGTCCCACCATGCACAGAGTAGTTCAAATACTCGAATCTGAGATCACGACCCCGTTCCCTAGCGACTTCTATGATTCAAACTCGGACTGAAGGCTTCATTGTGGAATGAAGAGAGGCAACATCTTTGCTATTATCATCCACTGCTTCATGCAGCAAAATGCAGGATCAACACAAGAACAGAAGGGGCTCGGAATCTGCATAATTCATCCCCGACTTTATTTATTAGTTCATTCTGCAAAATCCCGACATCACATGCCCGCGCTGCTCAGCAGCCTTTCTTCAGGTTTTTCTTTGTCCAGTAAATGAAATTTTTTTGCTTTACCATGCTATTTGCCCCTTGTCTCTGCCTTGTATTTCCTTGTAATTACTCTACTCATTTGTATACAAAAATGGTTATATACAGAAAGTACCCTTATTATTGATTCCATTTTTTTGTATGATATTTGTGTTGCATAGTTATCTTTTTTTATTCCATTTTTATTTGGTCACAGCTATTTGAAATATTTGCTTGCTCAAAATAATACAACATCAATGTTCATCTAATTTATTTCATAATGAGATGCTGAATTATTTAGGGCCCGTTTGATTCTGCTTCATCCAGAAGAGTTTTTTGAGAAACTTACTTTAAGCCAGTTTTCTCTAAAAACTCTTCTGGCCAAACTAAAAACTTTCAAAAAATCATGGAAGTAGATTTAAAAGTAGCTTCAAAATCCTCGGGTCCTTAATCCTTCTCCGATGCAATTGGAATTTGATGAACAGCATGGTTTTTGCTTATTTTCATATCCTATTGTTAAAATAGGTAGGGCTGTCCGTGGATTGGTTCGGTTCTGAAGAGACTCGAACCGATCCAAAACTTTCGGGTATTTAATAAATTGAACTATCGGGTTCAAATATAATTATGGAACCATTCGAGTTCGGTTCCGTTCCGTTCGGGTCGGTTCCGTTCCGTTCGGTTCCGTAACATAATTAAATTTTTTAATATTTACAACAACACTAAATAAATACAAGTAATGATATTTTATTCGTAACTTTTACAAATTAACGTAACCCCATTCAAAAACAAATAAATAACTAGCCGTTCAATAAGATTAATTCAATGCATACAAATATCAAAAAATATATATTAATATTACAGCAACACTATATAAAGTATATTCATTTGCTTCAAATTAAAATGGGCTAATGGGCTTTAAAAATGATTTGGACTTTAAAATTAAAATTATGAAATAATCTGATTTATTTAATTAATTTGTTAATTTGTTTAAAAGTAATAAAATAATTTAATTAATTCAATATAAAAAATAAAAAAATTATTTAGTTTCGAGACCCGTCCTTGATTCGGGTACCCGTTTGAGTATTTAATTTATGAGAACCGCTCGATTCGATTCGGTTCAAGACTTTTGGACACCCCTAAAAGTATGAGTCTTTGTTATGTCAAATATATTATGTGTAGAACTTGTCTGTAATTTCTTGCTTTTGCCAGTGGGTTTCTTGTATTTATTCTAATAAATCAACGAATTTCTGAAGTGTTAACTTTCATATATTTTTGTGCTATTGTTGGGCTTCTCCAAGAAAAAGACAACCAAAAATTTAAATATTCTTCATTTTCTTAGATGAAAGGTGTATTGTATTACATAAACAAAAATTCACGGCTTTATTGAATTAATTTTAGACGTGTGTTTAGTTTTATAATAAATTTATTTTTAATTCAATAATATTGGCAAAAAAAAAAAAATCAACAAAACAGTCTTTGCTATATACTATATTAATTTAACCATATAATTTTTTATCGAAGTCAAATAAAATAAGAAAATTTATGAATTGAAAAGTCATTACTCTAATTCTAAAAATCAAACTGTCTCGTTAAAATTAAATGAAAAAATTTGAGTATCTTGATGCCAGGATTTCTAAGCTATTGCAAATCAACGAATGTCGTGACTCGAAATTCTAGGAATCTGCAAAATAGCACTGAAAATTTAGACTCATTGATTCAAGAAATGATTCTTAATCAATAAAATCGTTGAGTGCGAAAATTATCGATATTGAACTTATAAGAACCGAAACAAGAGATCCAATTTCTTGTCCACAGTGTACATGATAAAAACTTTTCATTGTTAACATGGCAATAAAAGCTTACCTATGATTTTCTGCTACAGTCATAAATTTAGATAACCATATTTACGTTTTGTCTGCTACATTAGTAGTAAGAAGTTTTTATTCTGCTCATTGGAGACAGAAGATCAATTCTAATTGAAACCAACATAAGTTATGTAATTTTTATTTAATCCAATTAGATGTCTGTCACCCATAATTTTCAAATATTTTATAGAAGTGCATTCAACATCTACAAGTGTATCAACATTCACGCGGTTCCCAATCATATGATCAACTCCTGACAAGTACTTTCCAACACATGGATCAATTAGCACTTCTCCACCAAATTTGAAATAAGGTAAAGATAAAGTAGGGAAAGTGAATTTTTCCCAAAATTTAAATATTCTTCATTTTCTTAGATGAAAGGTGTATTGTATTACATAAACAAAAATTCACGGTTTTATTGAATTAATTTTAGACGTGTGTTTAGTTTTATAATAAATTTATTTTTAATTCAATAATATTGGCAAAAAAAAATAAAAAAATCAACAAAACAGTCTTTGCTATATACTATATTAATTTAACCATATAATTTTTTATCGAAGTCAAATAAAATAAGAAATTTTATGAATTGAAAAGTCATTACTCTAATTCTAAAAGTCAAACTGTCTCGTTAAAATTAAATGAAAAAATTTGAGTATCTTGATGCCAGGATTTCTAAGCTATTGCAAATCAACGAATGTCGTGACTCGAAATTCTAGGAATCTACAAACTAGCACTGAAAATTTAGACTCATTGATTCAAGAAATGATTCTTAATCAATAGAATCGTTGATTGCGAAAATTATCGATATTGAACTTATAAGAACTGAAACAAGAGATCCAATTTCTTGTCCACAGTGTACACGATAAAAACTTTTCATTGTTAACATGGCAATAGAAGCTTACCTACGATTTTCTGCTACAGTCATAAATTTAGATAACCATATTTACGTTCTGTCTGCTACATTAGTAGTAAGAAGTTTTTATTTTGCTCATTGGAGACAGAAGATCAATTCTAATTGAAACCAATATAAGTCATGTAATTTTTATTTAATCCAATTAGATGTCTGTCACCCATAATTTTCAAATATGTTATAGAAGTGCATTCAACATCTACAAGTGTATCAACATTCACGCGGTTCCCAATCATATGATCAACTCCTGACAAGTACTTTCAAGGATCAATTAGCACTTCTCCACCAAGTTTAAACGTGCCTTCGCTTGATTGACAGTGACACGCATGTAAACTCGCCGATTTCTAAAAATACTGATATTACGTAGGTAACTTCTACAATCAACATTGTGTTCCCTCTTTTAATCTCAATTTTTCTTTTCTTTTCTTTCTTTCTTTCTTTCTTCGTAATGATTGAGTAATATGTTAATAATATGCTTATTAGCATAAAACGTTTTTACCTACGTTTAATTTTTTTTTTCATTTTCACCCTTATTTCCACGTTTCATTGTGGAAAGTGTTATTTTCATCAAATTTTATCAAATTTCTCAATATATGAAATGACGAATATATTCTTTTATTTAAATAAAACAAAAACTAAAATAAAAAACTAATTATAATCATACTCCCAAACTTTTTTAAAAAGTGCAAATGAATCCCAAATAAATTATTAAAAAATTCAAAATTAATTTTTTTTCTCCACCTCTACCACCACCATTGGCCACTTGGTAACTCAATGGAGTCGCCACGTTCAACCACCTCAAACGCCACCATACAGTTGCTTAGACCTCCGAACAACATCACCACCACCACTACCACCTGATACACCTCCATCCTGCCATCACATCTCGCCACTTGTACGGCCACACGCTACCACAAACGACCCCCATCGCTACCCAAAACCCTCAATTTGTGGACCAAAACCAAAGCAGCAACACTCTTTCTGGCAACACACATTCCATTAGCCACCAACCGGTAACATCTACTCCCCAAGGAGTTCCCATTCGTGGTCCTATAACATCAAAACATGCTCCCAATCAAAATTTGCTGCCTCAAAAATTAAGCCCTAACTCTCCAAAATCAACAATCCAAAATTTGAAAAGATGAATTTAATGAGCCGAGTTTTGATGAAATCTATCAATATAATTCAAATGGCGCATCAAAATTAAGGTCTCGCATCAACCATCCGGAGTTCGTCTCGATTTTTCTCCATCAAAACTAACGAGGCAAGCGAGGGTCAGAGGCAAGATCCATTTCTTCAAACCCCATTTCGGGTTTTGTTTATGGGGGACTAAGTGTCATCACAAAGAAATTGAGGGTACATTGAAACTTTAATGCTTGGGATTTTTAGAACTTTAATTTTTTGGAAATTGTTTATTGTTTTAGAGTATATTATAGTATTGATTCAGATTGTTGGGGTACTGATTTGGAGTATATTGTTATAAAATTGTTTATTGTTCGTGGTGGTGGTGGTGGTGGTGGGGCGGGAGAGAGAGAGATTTTTATTTGAGATTTATTTCCACTTTTTAAAATTGGTATAAGAGCATTTACAGATTATGAATACACATAAAAGAAACGAATGGATAGTAAAATTTTCAACTAATCCAATAAAAACTATGAATACGGAGGAATATTATGAATACCTTATGAATGAATCTCATGAGATATTAATCAGAATACATGATACAGATAGTATTATGAAGAAAAAAAAAGAAATACAAATAGAATAAGAATAATAATTTTTGATTTCAAGAATTATTTAAAAATAAAAATTTGGGAACTTTATGAAAAGTATCCATTTATAATGAAATAAAGACATTAGAAAGAATAGAATCTATTCTTGATAATGAACTTGATAGACTTCAAAATACTCATAAATGAGAAGACCTATTCAAAATAGATTACCAAAAGCATGTAAAGAAATGAGATTTGAGCGCATGCTTAGATTTTCTGTAAAAATCATAAATAACTGACTCACTTTAAAAGATATAAAATTATATTTA